CTCATGCAGATACGAGCCCAGCAGCCCCCGCCCAAGATACCAAAACCCCGCCAGCCATGTCGCCAACCCACACAGCTCCAACACCCATGCTGCCCGTCGCCGACTCTTCTGTTCTCCACCGATATTTAGCCCAGTCCCCGATATGATCGAGTGAATTTCAATCGCCGGTGTCGCGACGACAAGCAGGAAGAGCAGGGAAGGTAGCGTGATCTTGAGCGCTAACGTTCGCGTGGCGCGGTTGACGGTGTTGGAGATTTCGCAGAGGATGAGCTCGGCGAGTACGGCGGAAAGGGCGAAGTTGGTCGAGAAGAGGATGCTGGCGAGCGATCGCGCATTCGGGCGTAGACTGCTCAGTATGGAGGGGCGTTCGCGCTGTGGTGCCCCAGGCAGTCGCGCGCTGTCATGGTGCGCTTTGCGATCCGCACTGCCTGATAAGATAGGGAACAACTTCTGCGCCGCCACAGAGGCAACGAGGAAGGTGACGATAAAGGGAAGCGCCGATACGGCAACCGTCATCGGGCTGCGGTGCAGCGCATAGTCGGGCATGCACTCATCGCAGTCGTCTTGCAGAGTCGGGATCATCGGATAGGCGGTCTTGTTATTCGGCAGCTAACGTGTGGCTGGTGGCTATTGCCAGTTTGTCCTGGTTATGGGCGAGGTGCGGATACCCATTGATTACGCGGCGCGGTATGGATACGTTGACACATGGGGGTCTTGGGGGGATGTGGAAGGTTACGCAAGTGAGGCAATCAGTCAATGAGGGACTGGGGCCGGGAACGCGCATGCATGTCGCGGCGTCAAGCCACACGAAACGTCATCGCGTCGATCATACCGGGGTCTGGCAGGAGCACATGAAACACCACACTCTGCTATCTTTGAGGCTGATGTGAGAGACGAGATATCTTGGGTATTGAATGCTAAAACTATGCGCCCCCGTTTCCCTGTGCGCCAAAATGTGCGGGTGTGTCTTTGGGGCTCTTCGAGTTGCACCCGTGTCTATTCATGTACGACACCGACGGTTTCCACCGCCCATGTCTCCTTCGCCGACCTTCATGACGCGGTCCAGGATTAGTCTGACCAAACGACATATCTTTCTCGATATTCACGTTTCCTCCTCTCCCAGACCCCCCCTTGGTTCAAGCTCCCACTATGCGCCCTGTGATTCATTTGATTCCTTTGACTCCTTCGCTCCACTTGTGAGACTGTCCATGTACGACATTGACGCATTCCCACCGCCTGCGTCTCCCTCGCCAACACTTGTCTGCCCTGTTGCGATCGATGCTTTCTCTACTGCCGAAGTTCCCGAAGTCGAGACTCCGCCGTCTCCATCTTCGTCGTCGCTACCAGACTGGCTGCTAAGCTCTGGGCTGCTCAGATTCTGTAGATGTGGGCTCTTCATCATCGGGCCCGGGCTTCGTGGATCGTCATTGACCAAGTCATTGACCACAGTGGTGGTGCGAGTATCTTCCTCGTCCTCGCTGCTGTCTGGCGCTTGTTCGACCTGTGCTAGAGGATGCGCCTCTACGGCAGGTTTCGGTGCGGTCGCCGCCCCTCCGACTATGGCTGCCTCGTCTTCATTTGCGAAGAAGCTGTTACGAGGGCTGTTGAATTCAGGAAGGCTCTCACTCTTCGCCAGAATCTCTCTGTAACCCTGGCGGTCTGGGTCGTTGGTGCGCTTGCTCTTCGCCTTGTCGCGTTTCGATGTGGGGCGTACAACAATGACAGGTACTGGCGAATGTTGTAGACAGTATTTCGACACACTGCCAGGGAGCAGTCCCTGGAAACCGCCCAAGCTCTTGCCTCGTGTCCCGACTACCAGAATTGCTGGTTCGTACAGATTGATCTGTCTGTCGTTAGATATGAAACAGCTACGCGACCGCGGAAGACTAACCATGTCGTCGATAACTTTGTTAACCTTACCGATGGAAAACTCCAATATCAGGTTGATCGCCTTGTTGTCGTGATTCCGACTTTGTATGTCGGCCATGGTGTTGTCAGCCTCCACGCGATACCGACCAGTCTCTACGCTGCGGTCTCCTGCTATTGCATCCTCCTTCTCGACCACTCTGAGACATACTATTTCATCACCGTCGTCGACGAGCTCGTTGATGAGCCATTGTAGGGCGTATACCGAGTACTCGTTCTCGTCGAAACCGCAGAGGAACGTCCGCGAACGCTTTGTGTATTCGTAGTCCTTGTGCTTGGCGATGAGTGTGAATGAGCTCTCCTCGATGAAGTCTGCAGGCTTGTCGAAGGTGTCGAAAGATACCCGAGGTTGGAAGACGCTGAGTGAAGTGTTAGTCCGACGGCCTTGCAAGGTATTCGCAAGGTGTGGAGTTGAGTGCCCATCTGAGCTCTGGCACGCTGGAAGCATACTTCGCCATTTGTGCGCCATAAGTACATAGACAGAGGAACACGGGCGCAAAGAAGCGCAAAGCTTATATATACCCGGGGTGCATGAGGTATGAGCAAATCAATACTTACGGCGGAGGCGGCGGTGACGACAATCGGCGTCGTTCACGGGGCCTGGGTTGGCCTCTGGGTAGCGACTGATTTCTGTGCGCCAGGAACTGTATCGACGGCCGCCGTACTTCGTCCTGCGTGAGATGTCCGCCAGTGGGGAGCTGCAGCGGGCTGACCTTGTAAGGCCCCGAGGACTTTCGCGGCGCTGGAGACGCATGTCGGCCGTCTCTGGACGTGGGGGACGCGCTCATAGTGATGTCGGAGTGAGATTGCGGGCACGAGGTCGTCGGCCAAATCCAATCAGGCGAGCGCAGTGCCAGTGAGGTCCGACCGCGAGAAACCTGCTGGCTGCGTGGGCTTGCGCAGGCGATCGGTGCTGCTGTGCGTCGTGTAGGGGTCCTTGGCGCGGGGAAATAGTGCTCGCGGGGTAAGTGGGCGATTAACGATGGCGAAGGGAATTGCAGTGGTAGTTGTCGCAGTGGTCGTGAGAGAGGAATGTCGGCTCAAGCCAAACTTTGGGTGTCGTTAATGCACTGCCTGTTCCGGGTGACGGCAGCGCTTGGCTTCTTGGTGGTGTGTCGCGCGATCCGCATCCACGCCATCATGTTTAGACCCTGGTACCGCCCGCCGCGGAAACGCCCGCTGGATGCATTTGACACATGTGAAGGCATGACATCAGATGGGGTGAATGAGCTGGGAGTTGTTGTCATGCTGGCTGCGAATTCGAGTCGAGTTTAAGATGAAAGATAAGAGGGTTTGTCACAAATGGAATCATGCATATCATTATTCCCGTTACGTCCAAGTCTAAACAACGTCTATCAAGAAGTGGGTGCAGCCTGAGCCGCTTTTCAAACCAGAGCCTTGAGCTCGCCCTGGGTAAGCTTCGCAGCACCAATGAGACGCTGGGCCTCCTCCTGGAAGATCTCCTTGATCTTACCGGCGTCCTTGACACCGTTGAGCTTGCTGGTCAAGGCAGCCAACTCCTCGTTGTCCTGCTTTACGATGATGATATCGACGTCACTGAGAGCGGCATCGACCTGAGAAGCGGGCGCATCGCCGGCACCGTGGAAGTAGTTGGCGTCCTTAACGGCACCACGCACAACACGCTTGTTCTTCTTTGCCGCGTTCTTCGCTGCCTCCTTGGCCTTCTTGCTGTCGGCCTTTGCGGCTTTTTCGGCGGCCTCCTTCTCAGCTGCAGCTGCAGCCTCCTCAGCCTTCTTCTTCTCAGCCTCCTCCTTTGCGGCCTTCTCGGCAGCCTCCTTGTCGAGACGGCGCTTGTTCTTCTGGGCGTTCTCAGCCTGGCGGAACTTCTTGATACGCTCGTCAAGCGCCAGGCAGTCGTCGACCATGTGCCTCAGACGAGTGGTGTCTTCAGTCTTCTTCTTGCGGCGCGCGTTCTGGTTCTTGCGTTCGACGTGACGCTTCTGGTCACGGTTCTCGTTGTCATCGGGCACGTCCTCGTCAAGGTATTCAAAGGTCCTCCAGCTGTCGAAGTTGTACCAGAAGTTGTAGAAGTGCTCGACCTCCTCCTTGGTGCTGTTGGCGTTGCCCAGCTTGGGTACGGGCTGCTTGTTTGAGAAGCGTCCCTCGGCCTCGAAGACCTTGCCCCAGAGCTTGTAGAAGTTGCCCTTCTGTGTGTCCTTCTTGGATGGTGGCTCAACCTCAGCGCCCTCGTCCACGGAGTCGAACTGCCTCCTCTTGACGGGGTCGGAGAGCACCTCGTGGGCCTTTTGGATGCACTTGAAGAATTGATCATCCTCGGTTCCGCCCTTGGCCGCCTTCTTATCGGGGTGGTGCTTGAGCACCTTCCTGCGGTGGGCGCGCTTGATCTGTTCGTCGGTGGCCCTCCATCGGTAGCGGGTTATGCCGAGCACAGCGTAGTGGTCTTGTGACTGGGGGATGTTAGTAGGAGTCTGCAATAGCCTGTGTAATCGCCCTACCTTCCAGTCCTTGGCTTCACGCTGGAGCATGACGGGGTCCTCGGGCTCGTCAACATCGTCGGGGTCCTCCTCCTCGACGCTCTTGACGTTGGCCTGCGCCTGGATGCGGTCATCCTCGGAGAAAGTGCGCTTGTTGCGCTTCTGTAGAATTCGTCAGTACTGCATATGCCAATCATCGTCGAAGCACATACTCTGCGGGCGTAGGCGAGGAAGTGCGGGCCAACAGGCTCGATCTTGCGGTCGTTGGCGTCGCTCAGCTGGCCGATGGCCTTGAAGTCCTTCTCGCCAGCCCAGCCCTCAGGCAGGACTGGCAGCGGCAGTGAAATCTCCACGTTTGCCATTGTGCTGGATTATGGTTGTCGTTCTGGTGGGGGAACGGCCAGCGAGAGAAAAAGTGAGGATTCCCGCCGCACTAGCTTGGCTGATCTTAGCGCCTGTCCAGCGTCCCCGATCCATGTCACCTAGCCGCGACGGACCCCAGAACGTGTCAGAATAGTGGTTTGTCCCCATGGATCCGTGTTTGATATTCCATTAGGAAAGTGTATTACTTGTCTACTTTGCATGTTTTTCTATACTTCTTCATAATTCAGCAGCATCATGTTCCAGGTACCCCATCGCCATCCACGTTGCATCATAGGCATGCTGACAAGACACAGCGCATTCGGGGGGCCATCGACGCCAGAATAGCAGAAGAGCAAGCGCGCCAGAAAGCCACCTCACCGTCGGGCACCCCACGATCCAGCTCTACAACACGGAGATCCAACTCACGCAACCTCTCGCCCTCGAAGCGCACAGCGAGATCGAAAGATGGCGACAGCAGCAAGGCCGCGCCGGCAGGGAAGGGCCCTGACCCCTCAGAGTTTGACCCGGAATTTGTCGTAGGAGAAGAGGATGACCCGCCGAGTCGAGCCGGTACACCGCGACCAAAGGAGAAGGCGCAACCCGCCGAAGTGAATGCGGAGAATGGCGATGGCAAGAAGGAGGAGGAAGAGGGGCCGACTGCGGAAGTCGAAGTGAAGCCAGAACAGCCACCAGAGCTGCCGCGCGAGATTCAATTGCGATTGCGTAGGCTGGACAAGCTGGACCCCAAGTATACGGGTGAGTGACGCCTTCCCTATGTATGCGCCAAGCTAATCCCCCTACAGAACTCCTTCGGTCGTACCGCATCGCACACGCCAGAGTGGGCGCCATCGAGGCTTTCGAGAGCTCCCTACGCGAATACACCCCTCTCACTTCCATCAGCGACACGGGCGCATTCGTCGAATACCTAGGCCAACTAAACGTCAAGAGTGACATGCTCATGGAGGAGCTAAAGCGGGTGTCCAAGGAGCGCGATGAGCTCAACAAGAAGCTGGAGGACGCCGAGAAGCGCGCGAAGGAGGCTACGGCTGAGGTCGAGACGCTGAAGTCCCAGGCGCCGGCTGCCAGCGAGGCTGTACCGGACGATTCCACAACGCAGACCGAGTCCGTCGCGCCATCGTCACCTTCCAAAGCGTCCAAGCAGACTGAGAGCACCGAAGACACGGAAGACTTCTTCTCGTACGACAGCGAGCTGCCCCGCTTGCAGACACAATTACAGGAAAGCGAGGAGAAGGTCGGAAAGCTCGAGGAGGAGAACAAGTCGCTCAAGGAAGAGCTTTCTACGGCTCAGGAATCAGCACAGTCTTTCATGCAGAATCTAGAGACTACGACGAACGATCTGAACACATTCAAGGACACCCACCAACGACTACAAAGGGACGCCGACGACCGCGAGAAGGAGCTCAACAACACCATTGTAGATCTCAAGTCGAAGGTTGAAAGCGCCGAGGAAGAGCTGCACAAGCACAAGGATACTCATGACCAGAACGAAAGGACCATCGCCGAACTCAAGACGAAGCTTGACGCAACATCCAAGGAACTGGAAGAGCTACATGCGGACAAGGGAGAGAAGATTGTCGAAGATGATCAGGTGCAAGAGCTCAAGCAGCGCATCGAGGAACTCCAAGGTGAACTTTCGCAATTGCGCGAATCACAAGCCAAGGCCGAGAAGCGGAACGAGACCATGGACGGATTGCTCGGCAAAGTTCGCGAGCAGCTAAAGACTACAGAAGCAAAACGCGATAGCGCGTTAGTCGAGCTCGAGCAAGCGAAGAAGGACTTGCAGAAAGCGAACGATGACAAGAAATCGACCAAACCAGAACCAGTCCAGCAGCCGCAAGCGACCCCAGCACAAGCTCCCCAGAGCGCAGCAGCAAAGAAGAGAGCCCGCGCCAAGGAGAACAAGAAGAACAAGAAGGGAGGAAAGGGACCTGAGGCCAGTGGAACGTTGACACCTGAAGCAACACCCAGTGAAGCTGGAGATACCGAAGGCCTTCTCAGCCCCCGCGATGCCGAATTCTCGCCGTCCCAACTTGAAGACGCGTTGAAGGATGTCGCGCAGCTCAAATCTGACCTTGAAGAGAAGGTCGCAGCTATCGAAACATTGCAGACCGAGGTCGCGGAGAAGGCGTCGACGATCGACCGTCTCAGCAAGAGGGCAAAAGACCAAGAAGACATGCAAGAAGAGATCGATACCCTGCGTCAAGACCTCCTTGACTACGGCCTCGAACACACTGAGGCCAAGGATAAGGTCAAGGAACTGCAAGCCGAGAAGGCGGCGCTGCAAGAGAACCTCACCAAGCTTGAGGCTGAAATCGCTGAGTTGAAGACCAGCAAAGCATCGAACGAGTCGTCGCAACAAGAAAGAGAGGCGTTGACCGCCGAGTTCACGGAGCTCAAGACAAAGGCGGAGACATTGCAGACGGATCTTTCAGTTGCAGAAAAGCTCGCGGCATCCCGCTTCAAAGACCTCACCGAAATGCGAGAGGTGCTGCAGAAGGCGCAACCGGAGCTGACATCATTGCGCAAGGAGGTGGCGGAGCTGCGTAGCACCAAGGACGAGCTTTCCACTAAGACTACAGAAATCCGCCGGCTGGAAAACCGCGAGAAAGACCTCAGATCGGAGATTACTGAATACAAGTCTCAGTTGTCGAGCAAGGAGAGCGATATCAAGACACTCAACGACAAAATCAAACAAGAAACCAGCCAGAGGCTCGCGTTGGAAGAGACAAACAAGAAGATCCAGCGAGACCTCCAAAACTCGGAGTCAGAGCGGAAGGATGTCATCGAAACGCGGGACAAGTTGACGAAAGATGCCAAAAAGGCACAAGACGAGCTCAAGGCATCACGCCAGAAGGTTCACGATCTGGAAGAGGAAGTCGCGAAGCTTACGCGTGAGGTTAGCAGCCTACGTGAAGAGATCCAGATGAAGTCGGCGCAGTCCGCGAGTGCGCAGGACTTTGTCAGCAGCATGCAGGACCAGGTACAAGAGATGAGCACCCAGATGAAAGAGGTTCGCGCCCGAAGCGAAAGCCTAGAAGAAGAGCTCGCCGATGCGCATCGCTTACTCAGCGAACGTGGACGCGAGGCTGAGACAATGAGGAGGCTGTTGAACGATGCGCAAGGCCGGGCTGATACGCGGGTACGTGAAATGCAAGAGCGCCTCGACCTTGCCGTCGAGGAACGCGAACGTGCAGAAGAGCAAGCTAGCACATTCAGCCGCCGACGCGCTCGTGAGCTCGAAGAACTGAAACAAAAGGTCCGCGACGCCGAACGCGCACAAGCACGCGCTGTGGAAGACAAAGAAGATCTGGTTGCTTCCGAAGGAGCGCTCCGCAAGCAGACGGAGGATCTCGAGAAACGGGCCGCACAAGCCAGCGAAGAGGCTTCCGAAGTCAAGCTTGCGATGAGCCAACTCCGGGACGCACTGGACGAGAGCGAGAAACAAGCCCACGAGCTAGAAAAAGAAAAGAGCGATCTGCGACGAGCATTCGACGAGACACAGAGCCGTCTCGAGAAGCTCCAAAAGTCCAGCAAGGTACGTACTTCCACAAGATTTCACATACAACCTACTAATCACCCCACAGACAATGTCCGACGAGCTACGCACCCTAAAAGCCCGCGGCTCCAGCTCCACTCCCATCCCGCAGTCCTCACGCTCCTCAGTCGAGTCCTCGCGGTCGCAACTAGCTTCACCGCGTGCCAGGGGCGGTGGAGCAATCCAAGAAGCAATCGACTACGTGTACCTGAAGAACGTGCTCCTGCAGTTTTTGGAGCAGCGAGACAAGAAGTATCAGCAACAGCTCATTCCTGTGCTGGGTATGCTGCTGCATTTCGATAAGCAGGATGAGCAGAAGTGGATGGCTGCTGTGAGCGCGAAGTGAAAGTAGTGGTGATGATGGTGGTGGTGGTGGCATGCGGCTCTCCGCAGTGAGGGATATACGAGATGCATGCTTTGGGCGTGACGCGCTGGTCAGGTGTTACAGGGCTGGTGATGGATGGCGCGCGAATGTAGGATACGGGACATTTATAGTTTTGCATAGCGGTTTCTTCTTCGCAGGTCATGGTTTGGGTGCGGATGTATTATATAATGGTGGGTTTCAATGGCTGCTCTTTCCTGCCCTACAGGTTGGGCTGAGCATAGCTCTTTCTCGAATAGACGATTTGCTCGCGAAAGCTTAGTATCAGATGCTCAATAGGACGGCACTGATGACGCATCCTAGGTGCGGTATTAAATGTTATTTGGAAGGTACAGATGATCTGGTATGATGTGGTCCAGGGTCCTCAGGCGCAGTCGGTATGCTGATGTTGACATTGGGTGGGTGGGGGAGGCGGAGGGGAGGAGGAGGGGCGGTGGAGGCATTTACTATAATGCATAGTCAATGGGAGTTGCTCGATGTGACTTCCGAATCGTATGGTACAGGTGATGCATTGTTGCATTTTAGGGTCCAGGTGCAATCGGTATGCTGATGTTGACATCCCACGTGTGCTGCAGATCGGGTCGCAACAACAAGCATTCCTAGCAGCTGGCAGCTTCTACTGGTACCGGCCCGGTATGTCTAGGCAAGGTGCTCGGTGCGCTAATTAACAAGACGCAAGGCTTTGGGCAAAACTGGCTTCCAAGGTTGCGTGGACGAACTAATGTGGTAGCAGGCGACTATTTGTAGGCGTCGACTGATGTCATAATTCGTCTGGCCTGCTTCCTTACCGCTTCCTCCGGCTTTGACGCGCTCCAGCCATCCGTCACCATCTCTATCATCATCCCAAGTCGCATCGAATTCTCCGAGAAGCGAGTCAGACTTGATTAATCACGCATCTCTCCAAGCGAGTCATCTCCCGTTGTTGTCGCAGCATCGCGCACCCGTGCAAACCCCCATCAGAGCACCAATCAGAGCCCCGACATCGATAGGCTGGCGAGGGGAGCGCTAAGCCCGTGTCCAGCAATTGAAGAAATCGCGAGGCAGTGCGACAGAAGAGCCACACTGCCCTCGCTATACACCTGCAAGCCCATACCAAGTAGTCTGCGTCTGCCCATGAGCGCTGCCCAACGCGTCCGGAGCGCCTAACCGCACACGCACATCCCAGCAGCCCTCGAGCCTCAGTCCCGCCCACAGCCCAGCGCGTGGCGGGGAAAGCCACCATGAATGGCACCGACATGAAGAAGGCGGCCATCAACAAGGCCAAGCAGGTCGCGCAGGCTGCCAACAGCAACGGCGGCAAGAAGCGACGGAAGGGCCAGGACCTCAAGCCCATCATCACCACGGAGAACCAGGGCAACCAGAACGCCTCGCCCGCTGGCTCGACGGGCTCCTTTCAGTACAAGTACGTTCACCACCACCACCACCCGCAACCACTACCCTCCACCACCGCTTGCAGCCTCACCCCTCCCGCCCGCCCAGCCTGCGCCCCCCTCTTTCACTTATTTTAATGCGCCCGACATGCCCTGACTGCCGCAACCTTATACTGACCTCAACCCCGCAGTGTGCAGAACGCCAACTCGCCGCTCGCCCAGCACAAGATGTACGGAAACCAATTAAGCCACTCGCCCGACTCGTCGTCGTCGTCGGTCGATGAGGCCGAGAACACGGCCGATGAGGAGGACTCGGAGGACTACTGCAAGGGCGGCTACCACCCGGTGCAGGTCGGCGAGGAGTACAAGGACGGCAAGTACACGATTGTGCGCAAGCTTGGGTGGGGCCATTTCTCGACCGTCTGGCTGTCGAGGGATAACACCAGCGGCAAGCACGTCGCCCTCAAGGTCGTGCGCTCCGCCGCGCACTACACCGAGACCGCCCTCGACGAGATTAAGCTCCTCAAGAAGGTGGTCGACGCGAACGAGAACCACCCCGGCCGGAAACATGTCGTCAGCCTCCTCGATTCCTTCAACCACAAGGGCCCGAACGGCGTTCACGTCTGCATGGTGTTTGAGGTGCTTGGAGAGAATTTACTGGGCCTGATCAAGAGGTGGAACCACCGCGGTATACCAATGCCGCTGGTCAAGCAGATCACAAAGCAGGTCTTGCTGGGCCTCGACTACCTCCATCGCGAATGCGGCATCATCCACACCGACCTGAAGCCTGAGAACGTTCTCATCGAAATCGGCGACGTCGAGCAGATCGTAAAAACATACGTAAAAGACGAGCCGAAGAAGAAGGACAGCGAAGACAGCGTTAGAAACGGTAGGCGGAGACGGAGGACCCTCATCACAGGCAGCCAGCCGCTCCCCAGCCCGCTCAACGCGAGTTTCAACCACGCCGAGCTCTCCAGCTTCCCCGGCAACACACAAAGTCTCAACAAGGTTATGAGCGAGGGTACAGGTAAAGACTCCCCCACGACTATCCCGAGTCCTCCTTCTTCGTCAGACGGTGTCGTAATGAGTGGTGCTCTAGCAACTCCATCTGCCGGCCCCAGCCTGTCAATGGCAGAACGGCTCGGAATAAAGTCGAGCGACGACGACGCGCAAAAGCAACGAGAAAAGTCTGCGTAAGTTATCCCATCTCCATGTTCGAGTGTATACTAACCTTGTTAGTGATCTCCTTACTAAGGAGGTATCGGGTATCAGCCTCGATAAACCCAGCAGCTCGTCCGGCAAAACCGAGCTCGAGCAGCAAGTCGAAAACGCATTCGAAACCATATCAGTCAAGATTGCAGATCTGGGAAACGCCTGCTGGGTTGGACACCACTTTACCAACGACATTCAGACCAGGCAATATAGGTCACCGGAAGTCATTCTGGGTAGTAAATGGGGTGCCAGCACAGATGTCTGGAGTATGGCCGCGATGGTATGAACCCCTCCAAACCTGAAAGGCGTGAACTAACAATACCAGACATTCGAATTGATCACCGGCGACTACCTCTTCGACCCACAATCCGGCACAAAGTACGGCAAAGACGACGACCACATCGCACAAATCATCGAGCTACTAGGCACCTTCCCGAAGGGCCTCTGCATGTCGGGAAAATGGTCACAGGAGATATTCAACCGCAAAGGCGAGCTGCGTAACATTCACCGATTACGACACTGGGCCCTTCCCGACGTCCTCCACGAGAAATATCATTTCAGCTCAGAGGAGAGTAAGAAGATTGCCGATTTCCTGTTACCCATGTTGGAACTACTACCCGTCGACCGCGCCAACGCGGGCGGAATGGCAGGACACGAATTCTTGAAAGACACAAAAGGCATGGAGGGCGTGGATTTGAATATCCCAGTTGGTAGCAAGGGCGAGGGGATCGAGGGGTGGGCGACGGAAATCAAGAAGACGCGGTAGAACGCGGTGAGGAAGGTGCTGAGTGCTGCGTATCTATAGAGGGTGTGCGTGGAAAGGTGGAACGGGAGGAAATGGAAACTGCACTGGTTAGCCTGTTTTTGCTGAGCAATGGAACAGTACTCTGCGCTCGTTACGGTTGGCGGGTGAATGTGTTGTTGTTGGAAATGGGATACCGCGATAGAAGCATTACGATTATGACTCAATTGTATAGTGCGCTTTTAAGTGCAACGTTCGCGATCTGGCTGGAGAGACGTAGATGTGCAGTTCTGCCTGAGGATGGAAGCTGTAGATACGGTCGTGCGAACTTGTGATGTGGATTAAATTTGTCTGAGATGTGCCGGTGCATCGCTTCGGATATGTATAAACACCAGGACTGTTCTCGAACATAGTCATATAGGATCGAGACGTGAAGTCGACCGGCCGAGACTCGACTGCGATTGTTTATATCTCGTGTTCGGCTCTCGCTCTTATTCTTGTCCGGCCCTTTCGTGTCTCGCCGACGCCGTTCGTTGGAAAAAAGAGGAAAGGCGAGATGCGGTGCGATGTTGATGGGTGAGTTGACCCGAGCGTGGTACTCAGGTAGTTGTGAAAGAAAGGGGCCTGTGATGCGACGAGGGAGAGTGCGCAGGAATAGCTCCTGTGTGATGTCGATGCCATGCCGTATAGCGGTGCATCAGCACAGGAGGAAGCCGAAATGCCTAGCTATGTTGCCTCACAAGAGGATTAAACGCCTGTGACTGTACCTGCTGCCCACATTCCTCCCGCGCTGGTCGTTAAATTCCAAGGCTAGTAGTTGGATATCTCGGCGGGAGAAGCGCATGCGACATCATCGTGTCACCCCAACAATCAATGCAACACCGTACATCTCCCGCACTTGTTATGTACATCGTGTCCGTCGTACAAGAACCTCGGTACAGCGATGACCCACACGCCGTCCGTACGAGCATGCAGGTGGAGGATGACCCAGCGCGCCACTCACAACCCACACATTCCGTATAATCGACACAAGCAACACCCAAAATCCTCCTATCAACATCCGCCATTCACAAACCCCTCAGTCGTACAAAAACTCAAATCCACTCAACATCGTGTTCGCGTACCTAGCTATCTATACTTAGCAAGCACACCAGCCACACTCCCAGCTGGCATATATTGAGTTTCGGGATCGCCAAGTGGGTCGAGCGTCGTCATTAACCCACGCGGCTTTAACACGGGCCGAGAGTTGGTACCTGTAATTCGCGTACCGCTCCTGACCCTCTCGTTCCCGCCGCAGCTGTCTTCGCTATCAATGGTGGATGGTTGGTCCTGGCACCCGTATCTTTGGGTACAGGGAGTGATCTGGGAGCTGACGATGGTAATTCAAGGGACCCACAGTGACGGGGGCTGTGGAGAGTGGTGTGGTGCGGTTCTCCCCCTTGATTGCGGCGACGAGGGAGGTGCGTGCCACGCGGAGGGTTGAGCATGGCAAGCTTTGTAGATTGTGATTAAAGTAGGTGGGTACGTGGGTTCTTGTGGTGCTTATCTTCAGCCTCTTGCTTCAAGGCTTGGTTTCTCCTCTTCATTGAGTTCACTGTCGCTGTCTCTGTCTCTGTCACATCTCCATCTTTTCCCCAAGTCTCTCTTTCACACCATCGACAGAAGAGCGACTGAATTCTACAATTTTGAATTATGCATCTCTCCAATATCCCCTTACTCCCTCTCTCCCTCGTCCTCTTCTCAGCCACCCAAACTCTCGCCCAAACTTCCACAGACTGCGATCCAACCAAGAAATCTTGTCCAGCAGACACCGCACTCTCCGAGTCAGTCTACACCCACGACTTCACCACCGGCGCCGACAATGAGAACTGGAAGGTCACTGCTGGCGACGTGAAGTACACTTCGAAAGGAGCGGAGTTCACCATCAACAAAGCCGGCGATGCACCCACTATCCAATCAAACTGGTACATCTTCTTCGGCAGCGTGAGCTTCGTCATGAAAGCTGCGCCCGGCAAGGGCGTGGTGAGCAGTGCCATTCTGGAGAGTGACGATCTGGATGAGGTAGATTGGGAGTGGCTAGGTGGGCAACCCGGGAATGTGCAGAGTAAGTCCTCCACCACTCTTCCTATCCATACCCCTTCGCATCCACCCATAAGAACCCCCCACTAACACCACCCCAGCAAACTACTTCGGCAAAGGCAACACCACAACCCACGACCGCGAAGTCGACGCCCCAATCCCCGACACCCAATCCACATCGCACAACTACACCATCGCCTGGACCTCCACCTCCACAACCTGGCTCGTCGACGGCACCCCCAAACGCACACTCTCCTACTCTGACGCAAACGGCGGCTCCAACTACCCGCAAACCCCCATGAACGTCCGCATCGGCATCTGGGCCGGCGGCGACCCCAACAACGCCGAGGGAACCATCGAGTGGGCGGGCGGCGAAACGGATTACAGCGCTGCGCCTTTTACGATGGTGGTGGAGAAGGTGGAGGTGAGGAACCAGAATCCCGGTTCCAGCTATCAGTATGGCGATTTGAGTGGGTCTTTTGAGAGTATTGTCGTTGATGGCGGGGATGGGAAAGTTAAGAAGAGTGGGAGTGAGGATGGTGGGGAGAAGAGTTCGAGTTCGGCGACGAGTTCGGGGTTGAAGACGGAGGCTAGTCCGAGCGCGAGTGCGAGTGCGACGGTTAATGTTAATGTGGATGGGGGTGTGGGCGGTGAGCATGCGATGGAGACGGGGAATGCTACGGGGAGTGCGAGTATGGCTAGTGTGACGCCGACGGGAAGTGCGACGGGCAGCGCGGCTGTGGCTGAGCAGACGGGTGACTCTGGTGCTGCAGCTGGTAAGAGCTTCGGTGTAGGACTCCTGGTGTTGTTTGGCGTCATGACTGCGATGCTGTAGATTTAGATGTTAGCTACAATTAATTAGTCCGTCAATCCGTGGGACAATGATCGTGCTTTCGCGTCTGGACTTTTGCATGTCGTTCAGTGTTCGTATATCTGTATTGGAAGCCTAGACGCTGAGCCGAGAATCTACCCTTCGCGCGAAGCTAGAAGTGTCGATGATCTCTCCCAAGATGCAACCTAATCCACCTCCGACTCGTATCTAGAGCCATATCCAGAGTTGCCCGATCGTTCCTGCACCACTTGCCAATACATCGAGTATGGAAACTCGGTACGCAGCTGAACGGGAATCAAGTCTTCCAACGGGGTTTCGAAGCTAGGTTCATCCACACTCCGGTATCCTGGAAACTTGACCCTCATACTCTTCTGCAACGCTGCAGCACCCTTGATAGCCGAATCCCCCTCTTTCTCAATCATCTTGCGAAGCATTATACTCACCACCGGAAAGATACACGGGTGGTGTGGTTGATTCTTCTTCCAGTTGTACAGCATGCAGGGGATAGCGATGGTCAACCATGAATCTCCTTGGAAAATGAATGCTGGATAGTCGACCGGTGCGACCTTCCGAGCGTACTTATAGATCTGCAGCAGTACCTGGGTGCATCGCATATGCAGCTGCAACACGTCAAATGTGAGAGCCGTCTCATCTTTGCTAACCACCTCCTTGAAGATACGTAGCTTTTCCAGAGAAGACAGCGGCTTGTGCGGATTGTGAGACTTTTTCTGAGCGTCTCCTACCAACAACTCTAATTTGACGAGCGTGTCTTTCCTTGGTCCGTCGTCATGTACAGGCCCCTTCTGTCTTTGTTGACGCCATTTCTCCAAGGTCTTGACTTTCTGATGCGTCTTATCGCGTGGCATTCTGTCAACGGACGACTCGAGATACTGGGAATGATAACTGAGGCGACGTGTTCCACTGACGCGGGAAACATAGGTTGAGCTGCTGCCTACGGTGCGAGGTCTCCAACCTCTGGTGAAATCGTGGGCCACATTTCCCATGATCAGCAGGACGCGTCTTCCGAATTCAGGGTCTTGGTGTGGTTTCTTGCCCATAAAGATCCAGTCGCTACCTTGTTGCTCGATCAAATGGTCCATATCTGCCCATCGCAGGTCTTCAGGTAGATGTCCGGCACATTGAGCGGCGTTGTACAGATGAGCCATAACAATGATCTGACCATCGTTTGAGGTACATTCGATGGCTACTTCGTGATGCTCTTTGCACATGGTGGCCAGGAGTACACCGCAGAACGCAGGGTCGCACCTCAATAGTGAGAACCCAGGCATCTGCCGGAACTTTAGCGGTAATTGTTCTTCGTCGATATCGAACGCCATCTGGGCCTCCTTATTGACGATGAAGGCTTCGACAAACTCTTTGCGATCGATAACGCTTTCACGACAGAGTGTATAGAAGTCATCTAATTCCTCGGATCCTTTGACGTCGAGGTAGGCTTGGTATGTTGTGATGATCTGCTGTCCGATCTTGTAGAGAAGCTCCTCACCGACAGATAAATGACGCTCCAGCTCTCTTTGCATGTCCCAGAAGATTTGCAGCGAGAAAAAGATCCAGCTTTGCAGCCGGCCCTCGCGAAGCATGGCGAATGCAGCCTTTCGCACCATGTATTCACCCATGAAACGGGGTTCTATCGAAGGTGATGCTGCAAGCTGTGAAACACACTTGAGAAATCTCTTTTCATCGTTGGAGTATCGGAATTCTTCGTTCTTCGTTATATCACTGAATGTGAAGAGGAGCAACTCTGTGACATGCTTGCATACGACAGTGTTGAAGCTCAATGATTGCTTTTCTTGTTTGTAAGCAAAAGGCTCCCCACAATCATTGGCTGCATCGACGAATGGCGAACCTGGTTCAACCTTGGAGCGGCTGCGCTGTAAGAAGCCGATGAGTTCGCCGTGCATACTATGACCTTTCGAGTCTTTGAATCGAGGGTTGGCTTCTTCAAAATCGTTGCTCAACTTCTCTATCATTGTCAAAGCGACGTTCATGGTTAGCGCGGCGGCCTGGAGACCGATGTCGCCGTTCGCGAACTCGCGCCAAGTGCGTCTGACTGCAATCCTGAGATCTGTAACGTCCTTGAGAAAGCAGTAGATGGCGAAGGTAACGTCAGTATCAGACTCTTCGAGCTTGTAGGTCACCTTCGACTTGGCGGGTTTGGCGTGGACCTCGATAATCTCGGGCATATCGTTGGACTCTGGGAGAGCCTCGTTCTCCAGCAGCTCGTACTTGTTACTCGTGCGTATAGCTTCTGCCTTTGTGGTCTTGGGCTGCCGACGTTCGACTGGTGGCCTCTTGGCGGCCTTGAGGATTTCGAGGACGTCTTCCAAAGTCTTGATGAAGTATTGGTGGCTCGCGTTGTTCTCCTTGACGGCATTGTCTGCACAGTCAGAAGTGCTTGCGTACCAGACTGCGCAATCTTTGCGACCTCGAATGACAGCCTGCAAGGTTCCGAAGACCGAGGTTGGAACAGATGCACGCGCATCGTTGGCGATGGCTGTCGCAAGAGCGACAAATGATCTAGCGGTGATATGGTACGTAGCCGGGGCATTCTTTGCGGCTTTCCTGGCGGATCCCTTCAATCTACCTCCCGTAGGCGGTTTCCCATGTTGTTGACTATCGCTGAACACCTCGTTGACGGTACCAGTGGCGCGGGCTGTCTCAGCTAGCCATTGAACAAGATCTTCGGTTCCTCTCTTGTACTTCTGATAAGCATCGAATAGCAAGGGCGTGAGCGCCATTATTGGCAAAGGGGATTGTGTGAGGAATATGGCAACGTGTGTTGGTCGCGTCGCAAGTCGGATGTAGCCAAGTACCTGGAGGTGGGGTATAGCTAGACTGATATACTAAACCGAAGTCGTCCGTGCGCGCTCGCAATGAAGGAGGGCTTCAAAACAGAGGAACTGCTGTTTCGTGGGCAACGGTGATCAAACATAGCCAAGGGGGTACTGTACAAGACACGGTGGCGGAGCCGCGCTGCATACCTGCAAGTAAAGCTCGACCAACACATCACATTTACATGTGATGAGCAGCTAGTGCCACTGTGCTCTTTCGACGTCCTTGCTGCGTCAATGGCAAGAGGACCAAAGAAAGTAAACTCGTTGAGTCCAAAGCTCGGAACAGGACGTTTTCTGCGATCTCGATGCCCGCTGCAGAAGGTAATAACACAAAGACCTCGTAAGAGTGCGATAGCTTTAAGGAATGCGACGACATGAGACGACGTGACGTAAACAGGATATCGTTTGACAATTACTAAAGACTGACGGCAACAGGAACTTTACCATGTTTGTCAGAGGCCGCTGCGATGAGAGCATGTCTTCTCAAACGGCTCCTTGAATAGTGACGAAACTGTCCACATCCAGGTATGCGACCTTTTGCTACACCCCATTCGCTTGAAGTCATTGAGTGGTGGATTTTGATCTGGGCTGGCGATCGTTCGGGTAGCCAACTGCCTTCAAATCGGTATACGTTGGCCAGAAGCTGCGGTTACGGTGCCGGTATCAGGTCTGCATTCCGCGTGAAATGAAGCATGCAAAGCGTTATTTGTAAGAAGTGCGGTCGTTTAGGCCAAGGGACGGTTGTCTATTCCGAGGTCTTCCGGTGGCGAACGTGTCAACGCACGGTCCTGGCAGTGTGGGGCTCCGGCTCGCAGGTGGCAGCCTGCCTTCGTTCATTGCGACCACAATTTCTGCAAGAGCCATGAACAAGACCGTCGCAGTCTTTCGCTATCTTTGCAACCCTCGCCTCGGATATGAATGTCACCTCAGCATCCTGCAGACTATCCGCTACTGCATCGCGCCTCAAAATTCGTAGGTTTACAGACATTCTGAAAGCCCGCTTAGCATGCTATCTCATAGCACTGTCTAGTTAGATTGTAATAACCAGGAAGCATACAGGATACTTCTGATTCTCATTGACACTGTAGAAGTCGTAGCAAACCAACGCGACCCAATTCCAGGCTCCCGTCTGGATCAAAGGCGCATCTTCTTGTGAGGCAGTCTTTTGGAATTCCGGCGTAAGCAGTATGCTCGAATCGAGGATGGCTTGTAGCTCTTCTGCCTTAAACTGCCCCGCCCGGCTTGCACACGCACCGCCTTTATAAGCTACCTCCTCATATTTGTCGTCACCCGTGCTCTGGCACCACCCCAATCCTGGCAATCTTCAGCAATACCCGATCCACATGTCCGCTACCTTCTCTCTTCGCGCGGAACTTCATACAAACCAGCAGCCACCCGAAAAGTCGCTCTTCGAGCGTTGGCTTGAGCATGTCTCGCGCCCCTTCCAGTACCGGCCTTTGGACCGACAGACTTCCTCAATCAGACTCATACGACTCCTAAGCGGAACGTCCGCCGGCGATCACGTTCAATGCAAGATCAAACGCGCTACTACAGAAGCCTCATATGTATGTCTCTCATATGTATGGGGCGGTGATGACGAACGCTATACCATTCTCATAGACGGCAAACCCTTCAAAGTGCGTCACAACCTATACCGATTTCTCACACGGGCGAGACGAACCAAGCACTTAACACGTGCGTGGATCTGGATCGACGCCCTCTGCATCAACCAGAACGACCCTTCCGAACGAAATCACCAGGTACAACAGATGGGTGTGATCTTCAGCCGAGCGAAGAATGTGGTGTCATGGCTGGGAGATGACGTCAACATCGCCGAATTTTTGGAGTACATGCGACCACGTACTATGAGCGAAAAGTGCGCAAAAGATAAGAAGAAACCGACTTTGGGACATCCTGAATCTGGGCAGGGCTTTCACCATCTTTGCGTTGCCGAGTACTGGGATCGGGCATGGATTACGCAAGAGCTCGGGCTTGCACGGAAGATAACGCTCATGGCCGCTGATATCGAACTGGACGGTTCATTATTCCCGATACTTCCAAGTTCGAGTTCGGAAAGCTACCCTAGACGACTCGAACTTCTTCGCCAATCTATTACTATGGACTGGAAGGGTAGAAGTCTTATCTATCTGATGAACCGATTTAAGCTCAAGGAGGCACACATCAGCCGAGATCGTGTCTATTCACTACTTGCGCTTTGCGGCGAAGGGAAAGATCTACAGGTCGACTACAAAGCTACGGATGTCGCAGTGGCAAAACATATCCTAAGGTGTTGCAAGAAGTCGTTCTGCTTGTGCGCCACCAACCTGGTTGCATTCATTCTACAGCTGAAGTCTCCGGATCCGAGCGATGTGGCTTGGAACGATAGACTCTCATCGTTTGCAACGATGACGCTACCTATCGTTTCGGAAGACTTTCTCCGCGCCTCGTGCTCAAGCGAATCATATCATGATTGCTATCCAAGTTGCAACGGTACACAGCAATCCCATTTACCAGGCTTCGTGGTAGTATCGCCTTCTAGTAAGCTACTGTCGATACATCTCTATCTGGGCAGAATATGCGAGTCCTACGAGTATACTTTCGTCAAGGTTGACGAGGTAGCTCACGTTCCCGGTTTCGCTGGCCGATGGAGTAGAAGAATACGCTCCTGGGAGCTGGAATCCACGGAGCTCACCGTGCGACCCTACGACTGCTCCCTGCGATTGACGAACGACAAAGAGAGCTATAAAGCGAGATTTTCTTTCGATTTCCTTGTGAAACTCGCCCAACTTGATCGAGACTATCGCAGCGAGCTGTGTGCCCGTGTAGCTGATGTAGGGACAAAATCGGCATCGTCACATGACGGCCCTGTGATGCGGATGCTCTCTTCGCATCGTTCGCGTCATCGCCATGGTGTCACGGATAGGGAGACTTCGCGAACCGCTCACAGCTTGTAGGCTTTGGCTTCGTTGCAAGATTAAGATAAAACCACTGGTTGCTTGAAGAATGGCTCTGGATTGATGCCACATGCATTGATCAGACAAACGTCTAGGAGCGCAACTAGAAAATGCAACAGATGGGACGTTCCTACTTCCACGCGAAAGAAGTCACATCGTTCAATCATGCCCCTTCTTCCAACTCAACATTGACATCAACCCCATGCTTTTCGAGCAACAGTAGCATAGACTCCAGTCCAACCTTTTTCGCTCTTCGTACGCACTCTTCTGCTGTCCCAGGGGAATGCAGATCCGCTCCTCGTTCGAGGAGGAACTCAAACAGTGCTGTATGTTCTGCGGCGATTGCTCCGACGAGAGGGCTGTCCTTGCCAATGCTTTCGTTGACGTCTACGCCGGCGTCAAGAAGGAGCCGCACTACGTCCAGATGAGGTCCTCTTTCCATATTCGCTAAGAGCTTGGTGGGTACTACTGTGCAGCTTTCGTTTATACCCACTTCGACAACCGCATCGCTGATGTTGACCCCACGATCTAAGAGCAGTTTCAAGACTTTGTGTTGACCATAGCGAGCAGCGCTCGCAAGAGCTTGATTCGGGTCAGCCCCATCGTCTAGTAGAAGCTCGACGATAGGTACGTAGCCACGATCGATGGCGTGCTTGACTCCCTCATTTCGCAGTTTACATGAGACCTCGTAGTCCGATATGAAAGACATGCAGACTGAGTGCCGATTACGATCTTCATTGGTATGTGCGGCGACTCGGATTAGATGCGAAACCATATTCATCCTGCCAAGTGCTGCGCAATGACGGATCCTGCCGTAAAGCTGTTTCCTACCGGTCGGATACATGCCATGAGCGATGCGCAAGGCCTCAATGAAGTCCCATATCTGAGGATCGCGAACGCTTGCGCGGATGTTGTACAGTGGGCCCTTGCCCCAAGTTGTGGAGCTTTCGAAATGCCACGGCCAGTCCTCGCTGCGGAAGTTGTAAAGGAATCGAACGATGTCTATCCGACATCCTTTTGCTGCAGACTGGAAAAGTTGAGATCTTAACCCTGGGCCGAGATCGGATGCTTCGCTCGTCATGAGATACTCTAGAAGTTCCTCGTTGCCAAACCTTGCGGCGAGCTCAACATAATCTCCAAATACACAGCTGTTATCGGGGCTCTTAGGATTTGACAACATGGCATCTCGTAGTTTCGTAGACTGCCGAATGTACGATAGCGTATTGGTGCAAAGCGCGGCACCAAAAAGCTGTTTTTCGGTTTCGACAGAGTCCCACTTGAGTGAGCGGCGAAAATCATCCCTCAAACGCTCCCTATTCGACCTGCTTGCCCATGCCTCTACTGGGAAAAAAGTGCGGACCACGTTTGGGATGATACTATCATCGACCTTATGGCCGTGGCTCAGAGCTGATATCTGAACGGCTATGTTTCTGACGTCATTTAAGAACCGATTGCCATTCAGAGGCTCATGCATGACTCGATATTCCAGATAGGATTGATAAGAGTATATCACCTCCCACGTGTAGCAACGGTGGAATACGATTCCATCGAGTAGCCGGAAGGTACGAAGTGCGCCCATCACCTCTTGCGCGAAGTAATCTAGTGGTGGTTAGCGTGGAAATCTAACACATGATAGAGCTCCATACAGTTTACAAGTCTCAGACGCAGACCTCTTTTCATTCCCCGGGCGAGGATGGCGTAGTGGAGGATCGTTTCGAACAGCTCTCTGGGAAGATCAAGAAGCTTCATCTTGTCTACGGGTATTCCTGCACTGGCCCGAGAGAAAGCTGTTGACTAAATGGATATGCGGTCGAGGTTGACCTAAGATTTGGCAGCTTTTAGGTTGAGCGGCGAGTCTCCTGGGATGGAGGAGAGGCGTTGCGGGGCCTGCGGTCTTCGCCATTGCGGCACGGAACGTTCTGTGGCCCAGACATGACCGGCCACCGTGTGTGAGCCTTGAATAGATCGTGAACCAATCGCAATCGTAATATGTGAAGGTGGCTGTAAACGAGGCATTCTGCCTGAAACCTTCCGAGCATGAGGGGTCATGTACGCTGTAGTCTGAGAGAGCCGATCGCGCCAATCAGGCTAGGTCAGGGTCACGAGGGCCAAGCCCCCCGAGGTTCCAACATTCCATCCGACCGCACCTGAGCAGCTACGGCGCCGCTTATTCACTATTTATGTCAACTCTCAGCATTGCGCGAGTCTGACATGCAGCAGCGTCAAGTGCGACGCCGTACGATGGCCCCCGAACACCTGATGGCCGTTGGCCTGATTCCCTCATTCGTCGGCCACACAGGGTTGCGACCAGTCACATTCAATGATGCGCAGCTCCACGAGATACTTGCAAGGTTGAGATACGGATATCTTGAGCGAAATTTCGTGCATCTCACATACGTAAATGCATTTTCTAAGTCATAGTACAGAAAAGCAAAACGAGCGACTTGATAAATAAACAAAAGCAGCCATCGACAATGACAGACTCAACATGGGGAAATACCACCTCACTTCAAACCACTCTCCCTGGTCCTTTCTTTTGCTCATGACGCTCAGAGCCATTTGTCCGTCGATAATGGTTATCGACACGCAGCCATGCGGATCGATTAGGAGATCTCCACATCCGGGAGAGTCTCCCATGGCTCACCGGGCCTCGCGACGCCATGCATCTCATCTGCTGGGAAACCAATCGGTTCATCGCCTCTCCTCCAGATCACCTTTTCGTCGCCCAATTCGAAACGCTCATAGTCTTCTCCCAATGGCATACGATCGTCTCTGTTGATAGGTACCGCTTTGATACTGTCCACGCGGGCGTTACGGGTGAGTTCTGGAAGTTCAAAGGTCCACCAATTTGAGCCTTTTCCAGGATACGGCTGGTTCACACTGGTGCCGCTCTTTATCAAAGCGTAGACATCGCCCTCCACTGCTTGAGCATAGGCCTTCGAGTTTGCTGCGAAGTAGTAGTCGGCTTGTCTTTCACCAGCCGATCTATATGTATCGTATTCGTCGTGGTATCGATCATGCAAGTTTCTTATGTACGACCAGATGTGTCTTGACGAAGATTGGTGGTATTATAAATGCGAAGAAAGGCTTTCATGCCCGCCCGGACCGTCAAAGCATCGGTCGCTTCTAAGATCGCGGTCTTCTTCATCTTACTGGCCATTTCCCCATACTCCCAAATCGAAGTCTCGGCGCACTTCACCCGACCATCCGCTCCAGAGGCAGTTCGATGGAGTACTAGTCAAGAGTCAAGACGTCACGCAAAGTGCGGTGGAGATTTGCCAAAGCACCGGTAGTGTTGGACCTGACTTCTATTCCGAGCCCGAGCAGATGTTCTGTGATATGGAGACGCGTGAACTGTATCCAGCATGTAACGGTACTGTTCAGGTGACTTGTTTCGATCCAACTCAAAACGAGACGAGAATTGAGACTGGTGACGGAGGAGTGGATAAGCGTGGCGAGCGGAGAACGTACGTGGAGGTAAAAGATTGGTCGTGAGTGGGACGAGAAGATGGATGGTCGCACAAGGCTGGTCCCAACGATGATATGTCATTTACAATTGTACCTCCTCGTATCTAATACCTCATACTCCTCACCCCCTTCTTATGACTAGGACTATCCATCCAACTCTCCTTAAACCTATCCTCTCCATCATCGTCCTGATCCACATCTCCCAGGTCTATACCCGTAACACCATCCACATCTTCACCGTCACTTCCAAACTCTTCCTGACCACCAACGCCGCCTTCAGGACTCCAGACCGGACTTGTGGCAATCTTCGGTCTTGACTTGAACACCCTATCGTAATCCACTTCGTCACTGAATAGTTGCTCGGTGGGTGTACGCTCGATGCTCTCGAGCTTTGCTTGTTCTAGGAGTTCGAAGGATTTGCGATTCCGTGGTGTATCGAATTGGTTGACGGGGAAGAGTGATGATCGGCTAGATTTACGCTGTTCCTTCTTTGCTGTGGCGGTGGGGCGGGGGTTGGATTGCATGGCTTCCATGGTGAGCCGGGTTCGTTCGGCCAGTGTTGCGCGTCGGTCGCCGTCTTCATCTCCAGTGATAGAAGGGATAGGTGGTGGTCCCATAGATGGCAACGGGAGATCAGGTGACTCTGGAACAGGTTCGAAAGAGTTTGTCCGTGCCATTGTCATGCGTGTGCGTTCGATGAGCGAAAGGGACATACGTGGTTGAGGTTTCTTGATCGGAGATGGGGTCGCATTACCGATGGAGTTGATGATCTGGTCGGCAAGTGCTTCTTCAGCATTGAGTTCTGGGGGATCGAACGTTGGGATTGGTGGTTCAGAGGGGTATTCTGGCGATGGCTCAAGTAGCTTTTCGGGAGAGAGGTCTGTTTTTTGCTCTGAGAAATTAGTAAGTGTCTTGGCAGCTTCAGACGATGAGTTATCGACGACGGGCTCGGAAACAGCAGATCTAGTCTCCAGTACTGGTGTGCGCTCGTTATCAGTCTCCGTCGGTGACGCGTCGTGCTGGGTCGTAGCCCTACTCGACGCAGATGATTGACCAATTAGTGTGGCATCTGAGTCGATTGGTGTGGCAGTTGTCGGAACGTGCCGAGATGGTCTGGGTAAGACCGGGACATGTTCTAACGAGCTTGGTCTTGATGGTGACTGTAATTTGACAGGCTTAGCTGGAATCACTGGTGCTTTGCGTATCGTCTCCGTCTGAGTAGATTTCCTTGTGAGAAGTGGTGGGCGAGCAGTCTTTGCCGTCGAGGTACTTCTATGATGTATAATTGTGGATGCAGTACTAGCCCTGAATTTGGCGGCTCGCGCCAGCTCACTGTCCATATCAGACAGGATGTCTTGGAACTCTGTTCGCATAGTCGGCCGCTTTACACTCGCAGATTCTGCGGTGTGCTTCGACGACGGCAATTGATATTGCGAGTGGTCATCGAAGTGGAACTCCTTTACTGGCGCCGTAGTCTGTCCGCTTCCTGATGTTTCCTTCCCTGACTCGTCGTTTTGTAGCTCAGCATGGAAAGCCTTCCACTTTTGTAACCTCTCCTGTTGCTCTTGCACTCTTGCTTGCAGATTCTCCAGTAATCCAGTCTCAGGTGCGACGTCTTCTAGTTTTCTGCCTTTTTCCACCATATGCAAAACTTTGTCGAAACGGCTGTTTAGGAACGCATCGTCCGCCTGTACGCTTTCGCCGCGTAGCATTACGTCGAGCCACTGTTGGTTGCCAACCCAGTTGTCCTTGAGCTGTTTCTTGATGGCATTGGCTTCTTTCTGTGGTATCGCTGGCTTTTGCGCTCGAGGGGTATCTTTGCATTTGCGTATGCGACCCCGGATATCTGCTGCCTTTTTGTTCAGAAGACCATGGAATTCCATGTACTTCAGCCTCTTCTCTTCTTTCTGTCTCAGCACGTTGACGAGCGCTGCCTTATGTGCGATAGCTAGGGGCAGTAATGACCGTTGCTGTTCAATTGAGAGTGTTGACGCTGTCGCCAGTTTTCTTGCGACAACGGCATCTCTGTCACCTCCGTCTTGCGCTGCAAGAACCTTTTTGAGTACGACATTCGAAAATATAGCCAGTATCTCGTAGAACTTCTCGCCTTTGCACTCGTCAAGCATTGTTTTCCTAAGAACTGACTCTCTTCCCAAAGCGCCGTTCTTCTTCAATTCGTTCAGACATCGGTATAGCGCAGCGCGGAGGTTTAACGATTGGAGTGGTTCGAGTGGCGGGAAGAAGGGCTGGAGTTTCTGTAGCTGAGTCAGACATAGATCAGCGTGAGGTTTCATCCCAGCATACCTGTGCTGTCTCATTGGGATCCCATATTTCGAAGAGTCGAAATAGTGCCCATTCAGCCCCGCCAATTCTCTGTCGCTGGTCTGCATTCTTGGCCGAGAAAGTTTGTATCGTGATTTCAGGCCAATCCGGTCGCAAATCCAAATCCAACAATCGCAAATTGGTTACGAACAGGCGAATATCGGGCGCTGCTATTGGGTTCACTGCTTGAGGTTTGGGAATTGTCTTGACCGACGCGGTGCGCGCATGGCCGCTCATGGTAGTCGCGGTGGCCGCAGAGGCGGTTGAGGGCGGTCGAGACATGTTCGCGACCGCAGGGCATACATTCGCGCGGTGACCCTGGTCAATGTCCCTGAGACTTGAGGTGCATGCGTGGTGTTGCGGTGTGACGGGACCCTTGCGTTGTTTGCCAAGGCGGGTGTTATCGATAGGTCCGTTCGCGCCTTCTGTTCCCTGTCTGACTTTCGTCACTTGTCCCGCCATTCTTCACTCGCCAAACAGTCACCGTTTATAAGACAATCACGCACCCACGGGACTTCTATAAACCTCCGACCCCGAACTGCATTCGAGACACAAAGCAATCATGACAGTCGACGAAGCAACCCAGGTCAACGGCGTGCCCGATCCTAACGCCGGTGTACTTGACGCGAAGAAAGCAGAACAGAAGAAGTGGACAGTTGAGAGTGGTATGTCATGAACAAGCAATAGCTCGTCCGTATGCGACACCTCTCTTACCCCTCATACCTTTCACCAACACAGCGCTAACCTACCCCAAAGTCCTCTCAGAGAACGCACTTAAGTACGCCGAAAACACCGACTCACCGCTACCCTTCTTCCACCTCCTCGAGCGCCTAAAGACGACCAAACGTGCAGGATGGCAGCGTTTCGAAATTGGCGATGGCGAATCTATATCCGACCACATGTACCGCATGAGCATCCTCACCATGATGGCTCCTGCCTCGATAAGCTCCAAGCTCGACATCGCGCGATGCTGTCGCATGGCTGTTGTCCACGACATGGCTGAGGCGCTTGTCGGTGACATCACACCCGTAGACGGAATCTCCAAGGAGGAGAAGAGCAGGAGAGAGACCGAGACCATGGACTACATCTGCACAAACCTGCTGGGCAAGTTCAACGGTGGACTCAACGGCCAGGACATCAGGGCGTTATGGCAGGAATACGAGGACAGCGAGACGGCTGAGTCGCACTTTGTGCACGACATTGACAAGATTGAGCTTCTCGTTCAGATGGTCGAATACGAGCGCACGTCCAAGTGCGAGAATGATCTTGGGGAATTCCAGTGGGTCGCAGATGTTATCAAGAGCGAGGAAGTCAAGGCATGGGCGCAGCAGATCATCCGTGAGAGGGAGCAGTTGTGGAGCGATGCCGGCAAGATAGCAAAGCCTGCTAGTGCGTACAAGAAGTCTTGAGGGACAACGGCGCATGGTGCCGAGCGCACTCGCATTACGATAGACGGGCTCCTTCACTGGCGCATTTCATGGGGTACGACGGTTTAGTAGATGGTAATTGCATGTCTAGAATACATCTTCTCGTATGTAAACATCATTCATCTCTCAGTGATGTTTCAACTTGACATTAACAACAACTCTAGCACTTAAGAATTAGACAAGCTAATCAATCTCCTCTTCTTCACCTCCCTACTCGGCGTCCCCGCGAGCCTGGGCATACCCCCAGCCACTCCGTTATCCCCAAAACCATAATCATGCTGGCTATACCCACTACTCCCACTCGCGCTATTCCAAACCCCCTTCGCCCCCAACCCCCCATACTCCCCCTTCCTAATCTCATTACCAGACCTACGTCCATGCCAGTAACACAAGTCCGCGCTGGGCCCCCTATACTTCGGATGCAGAGGGCACAGCGGACTATTAGGAAGGTGTTCAGGGACGAGCCATTCAAACTTGCGTCGCTCTTCTTCTTCTTGGCGGGCGAGCGCTGCGAGAGTGCGTTCGTCGGGGGTGTCGGGGTAGTGCGATTGGTGGATGCGGGACCAGACGTCGTGGCCCAGCATGGGGGATGTGGCGGCTAGGGAGGGACTGGCTGGCGGTTTTACGCCGAGGTAACCTGCTGCGTTGCCGATTTCATTGCTTGTGCTTGCTGTGAGGGTACTGCTCGGGCCAAAGTCAACGGGGGGGTTGATGAAGTCGCTGCGGGGGCCGGAGGGGCCTTCGTCTTCTGCTTCGTCTGAGGGGTTGTCGATGTCGTTTGCTAGGCTCATGAGTAGGGCGTCGGAATCCCAGTAGCCGCCTGGACTGGACTTGGGCTTGTTGCGTGTGTTGATTGCGCTGCCACCGCCGTGGACGTCGAAGAAGAAGTCTGCTAGCTTGCCTTTGACTTCGCCGTTTGAGTCGAACATTGGTGGAGTTGGTACGCGTTGGAGACCCGGTGGGATGAAGGCTGGCGGAGCATGCATCTGTGCGAGCGACTTTACTGGAGGTACCTGTTTGCCCCGAGCCGGGAAGAAGGAGAATGGAGTTTGCTGTTTGGTAGCCTCTGTGCCGTTTTGGTCGGAGATGCGGTTTGAGCGTCGGAAGGGATTGAAAGAGAAGCGGCGATTGAGAGATTGCGCGGGTCCAGGAGAGGGTGGTGCATCGTCACTCGATTTGTTCAGCCATAACCAGCGGCGCGAACGTGTCGCCTTGGATTCGCTCGCTATTTGCTGCAACTCTGCCTTTGTTCGGGCTTGCTGTTCTCTGTATATATTCTCTTCTGCTGGGGTCCAACTCCCATCTGGTGTTTTGGCCACCGTGGAATCGCTGGCACTCGTACCACTCTTCTCACTTCTGCCACTTCTCGTTCTTTTCGATCGCGGACGATCAATGTAACACCGATCTCGTACTTTCGGTGGCGGTCGTTCGAACTTCGGGGATTGCGACGAGAAGATCGCATCGGTATCGGGCAGGAGACCTACGCCACCTTTGTTGTCATTTTTCAGCGCTGAGGTGCTGTCCCGAATGTAGTCTTCTTCGAGGATTGGCGTAGCTTTGGCCATTGGCATTGGCTCCCACTTCGGCTGCTCTTTGCGAATCCACGGTGTTTTCGGGCTTCGCGCGCGTGGAGCACCGAGGTTGGCCATAATATCGACGGGTGAGCGGCCGCGAGCAGGTAAGTCTGGAATGACGGTTGGCATGGAAAGATCGAGATTGACCTTTCTGCGGTCCCGCAGTCCGCCTTTTCCCGTTGGAGACTGTGGGCACGATGGGGTTTTTGCAGTCTTTGTTGGCGTTGTTGGCTCTTCGATAACGACGGATGGCTTTGATGCTTGCTCGTACGACTCCTTCGCTTTGACAACAGGAAGTGGTGCGAATGATAGCATGCGGTCTTTCTTGTGTAGTTTAAGCGGACCTCCTTCCTGGGGATCTCGCCGGTCTTGGTCATCTTTGCTTTCGGGCAGGTGAAGCATCCTGAATTCTGGTACGTGCCGTACGATACCCTTGGCAAAAGCTGCGATGGATGACCTTCTGTGATCGCGGACGTAAGAATCATTGGTTTCTGTGGAAAAGGAACCCGTTCGAGCTGTAGTCTCAGAAGTGCGCGACTCCATACTGTCGATATGCTGCAGCTTGCTGTTTTGGATGTGGTCCGCATCGTCGATGGTCGTCCTTCGAATTATCTCTTCCAGCGGTGGCGGCGTTTTCGGACGTTCCTGCTCCATTGCCATTGGGTTGCGACTGTGCCTGCTCTCATTTCCGAGGCTTGCTCGATGATCCCAGCTAAACCCCTCACGTCTGTCGACGTGACGTCTTGGGGTAGTTCCTTCGCCATTTTCTGATGACTCACTGCTAACGATCTGGTCGGCATGGTCCTGAAGTGAGGTGTAATGTCTAGTGAGAGACGTCGGCGAGCTCGGACCCAGGAAGCTACCGAGATCGTGTGCAGAGGGTGCGATCAGCCCTGGTATGCCCGAAGGTGTGATAGAGGCATACGCGGGGGTATCGATTGCGTGGGCCCTGGTCGGTGGTGCCGATAGCATGAGCGGACCGGCGATGAAAGCCACTGTTGCGTATTTGAAGCGTGTGCGCCCAGTCGATCACGCATCTAGTGGACGATATGTTGATTAGCAAACCGATGGTGAGGCCAATAGGTGTATCGTAGGTGGGTGCGCAGAAAGAATAGGTAGTGCGCAACTGTAGGAAGCACGGTGTTGCTCTGAACTGGGATGTAGAAGCAGCTTGTATCTTTGGTTTCCGCATCAGGAAGGAGACATGGACGACAAGACATCTTAACGAGGAAGTGGCCGTTTGGGCCGCGGATGTGCATACCAACTTCCCAACCGGGACATTAGTGTCATAAACAAGACTCCACCAACACCATTCTATGCAAAACTACGCGGATATCTTTCCAGTCCGTAAACCAAGTCATGCAAACCGGGTATCCCAACCATGCCTCATAACACATTACGCAAACATCAATACCTATCCAGATGATCCCGACGATGCTTGCACCACACTAGTGCCGTCGACAAACCGTGTGCGGAATATGCGGTTTGCGTTTTGAAACATGCCGTCCTTCAAACTGACGACGATGAATTGCGATCCCTTGAAACGGGTCTTGAACAAGCGACCGATATTTTGTGTGTGCGACAGGTCCAGCGCAGCATCGACTTCGTCCAAAATGTACATGGGTGCAGGTTTGAACTGGAGGAGGGCCATGATGAGGGATAAGGCGATAAGTGATCTAGCAAATGTTAGCGCATGTGATCCGGGTGAGTACGGGTGAGTACGAGTGATTGCATACCTTTGACCACCACTCAGCTCTGTCAGTGACTGCTTCCACACCTTGCCCAGCATGACTTTGACTTCCAGACCGTCAGAGATTGTCTTGCCCTCAGGAGGATCCAGTTTCGCGAAACTGCCTGGCAGCAGCTCGTTGAAAATTTGACCGAAATCGCGATTGACAATCGTCCAGGTCTTGTGTAGCGCCTCTTTCTTGTACTCATCGAGCTTGACGATAGTCTCTTCGATCTTGGATTTGTCCCGGATGACTGTTGACATGTTCCGCTTGAGGCTGGCTTCTTTCTTCTCAACATTGTCGATCATAGCCATGACCTTGGGGTTGATCTTGTTCTTCTTCTGCTGGAAATGCTCTTCCAACGACTTCCGCCTGGTTTTAGCGTCGGCCATGTTCACGCCCTTGAAGTCATAGACTGTGCCCGCACGTCCAAAGAGCTCGGAATCGCTCGCGATGAACTCGTACTCTTTTTCTAGCGCCTTGACATGGCTAGCTGCGCCTTCCTGTTCTTTGTGGAATCTTTCGATCTCATGGCCGAGCTTCTGTTGCTCCAGACCGCCTTCAGTGATGGACGAGTTCTTCGACCTGATCGCGTCTTCAAGCGAGCGAAGTTCTTCGTCGAAGCCTGTGAGTTTCGCTTGTTCGTCTCTCAAGTGGGCTGCAGCCAGGTCATGGGCGTCCTACCGAAGTTAGCATCGACAAGTGACGTCGGTCTAGAAAACTTACCTGTACACGAGATTGTTCAGCTAGCAACTCGTCGACTTCTGCTTGCTGCGACTGCAGATTTGTCTGAACCTCTTCAAATTGCTCTTGTGCCGCTGCCAGGTCACTGCCGCATTGCTCGGACTCGACCATAGCTTCGCGCATCTCTGTCTGTAGGGGCTTAATCGAAGCGCTATTCTTGTTCAAAGCCTTCTTGAGCTTGTCCAGCGATGACTGTAGTTCAGCAAGCTTGCTGTCCTTGTTGTTGCTGAACTCGCTCATGTCGCGTTCGATACGTTTGACGTCCTTGTTGGCCTCGTCTTGGCGAGTCTTTGCTGCTTTTATGTCTTCCTTGAGCTGAGCAATGGTCTGCTTCATCTCTTCCACGGCTTGGATGATCTAAGTCATAATTAGCAAAGCCCCAGGTTCGCATTCTAGGAGTCATCACTTACCGATGAGGAAGAGTTGCTGCCAATCTGCTCCTCGGTGAGCTTGATCTCGTGTCTCTTGAGGTCGAGCTCCTGTTTTGATTTACGAGCAGCGTCCAACTTCTTCTTCTCTTTGGCCATGGTGGCCTGCAGCGACTGAAGCTGGGCTTCTTGTGAACTCAGCTCTGTCGTAATCTCATTGAGCTTTTGGAGAGTAATGAGAACTCCGCTTGACTGAGGTGCGCTACCGCCAGACAGAACACCAGCTGGGTCGTACGTGTCGCCTTGTAGAGTGACACTCTTCATGCGCACTGCTGGATCGAAGGTCACGCGCTTAGCGGTCTCAGCATCCTCACAGACGAGTGTGGACCCAAAGACGTACTCCATGGCGGCGTTGACCTCGTGCTCGTATCCGATCAACGACAAGGCCAAGTCGACCTTTCCTGGTGCGATCTTCTGCGCAGCCCCAATCTTCTCTGCTGACGCCTTGAAAGCTGCAATCTTGTTAAGCGGGATGATTGTCACTCGCTTCTTCAGTTTTCCATTCTCGAGAAGTTGCTTGCCGGTAGCAGCGGAGTCGACAACCACGTTGTACAGCCGACCACCAGCGCAGATCTCCAGAGCAGTACCTGCTCGGGTATGCTCCTTTTCTAGGGTGAAGAGCTGAGCGACAAGACCTTTCACTTTAGACCGATCGAAGTTCGGGGAGGGGTCGTTGTAACTGAAGTCGATGTTCGCAACCTGCCGCCTCATGCCGTCTGCTTGTTGGCGGAGTTCGCGTATGCGTGCCTGAAGATGCGACTCTTGCTGATACATATCGGCTTCCTGACCTTCGTTGTAGCCAAGCTTCGCAAGGTCCGCTTCTAGCTTCTGAGCTTGGGATTTCAACGCCTCGAGGTCTTGGAGGAGCCCAGAGTTCTGTTGTTTGGCTTTTTTCGCCTTCGGTTCGTCTTCCTTGATCTGCTTCTCAAGATGTGATATCCGAAGTTTGCTCTGCTCTTGCTCGGTCGCGGCTGCGCTTGCGCGATTCCGGGCGTCTTGCAATTGGCCCTGGTAACCGCCTTCCTGGCCTTCTTTAGAAGCCACACCTGTCTGTAGGGTTTGGAGAAGCTCTTCCTTCTTCTCCACCTCCTCCGTCTGCTTCGCCAGCTCCGCGTGGGCTGTCTGGTACTTCTCTTGTAACTTCTCGTACGTCTGCTTCTTCTCCTGGAGTAGCTTCTCCAATTCTTTGACACTCTTCTCAACACCCTCCTTCCGTTCTACCTCTTCGGCCATGCTAGTCGTTTTCAAATCTAGCACTGTCGTCAGGCGGACAATCTCGTGCGAATGCGTCTTGACTTCCTCTTCCAGAGCCTGGAACTTTCCGCCCTTGCGCAGCTCCTTCTCTCGTGTTGCCTTTGTCTGTTTGATGTCCTCCTGGAGGTTCTCAATCTCCTTCTTCATGCGCACAGCAGACGCGTCGAGGTCTTTCGCCCTTTGCTTCTTGGCTTCAAGGTCCTCGGCCGATTGTTGTAAACGCTCGTTGTATCGTATGTAGTCGTATGCGACGACTAGCTTCGTAAGGCGCTCAAGCTCGCTCTGTGTTTGTTGGAAGTCCAGAAAGGCACGCTTCTCCATTCGCAGTTTTTCGAGCTTCGGGTCGATTTCGTCTCGTAGTAGTTCCGTAATCTCCTGCACCTTCATTTCCTTCTTAGCCATGGTCTTGTACGCCTTGTCCCGCCTGTCCTCGAACATGCGTGTTCCAGCAGCCTCTTCCAGCATAGCCAAAATCTCCTTGGCCTTCATGTTCAGCACCTGCATGACCTTTCCCTGTGCAATCATGAAATTCGGGTTGTTGATGTTCAGCTGTACAGACTGGAATAGGTTCTGTATGCTTTGTTGTTGCGCGCGGTGCCCGTTGATGAGGTACTTGCTCGCTCCTCCGAGCACGATCTGCCTCGTCACCGAGATCTGTGCATGTTCCTCAAAGCCGACGGGGCTTTTCGATTTGTCGCGGTTATCGAACACGATGGTAACGCTCGCTTTGGTGACACCCGCTTGGCCGCGCTTGTAGATGAGATCCTGCAGTACCGTCAGCGCTCCCGTATCGCGTACATCCTGCTGTCCACACTCACCTGCAAGTTCTGCGCCCGCACCACGCTCAAGTTGTTGATTCCGAGTACGAAACATATTGAATCGAGAATGTTCGACTTTCCGGATCCGTTCAGTCCCGTGATCGAGTTGAAGCTCTCGTCCCTGATCGGCTGTCAGTCGTGTCGTTGCGTGCGGGGAGCGTAAACAAGCCCTACCAGCCAGAAATTACGGTACGAACAGCGTATGACTTGTAGCCCTGTGCGCGTGTTAGGAAGCGACCACTGTAAAGTTTGGGGTCGCCTACATCGATTACGAGTTCTATAATCCTCATGGTGGCTGCATGTGCTGTCGTGCTGGAATGCGTCGCTGCTAATGTTTGTTGTTCCGTCTCACATGGGCAAGGGTCTCGGTACCGCCCACCAAATCGCGCTAAGCCTTCACGTGGCAGCGCGCCCACGCGTGCCCCGCCTCCTTCCACTCCCGGCCATGACAATGCGAGGGCACAATCATACGCACAGTTCTCAATTGGCCGTAGACGTCATCGATTACTACTATGTGCTAAAGGAGTGTGAATATCTTCACCAGGTATCTTAAACGCTATCATCGCTCATCAACGCAGACTCAAAGTACAATCACCGAGCTTGCCCCAGGCAATGCTCTGGCTCGGCCTCTACGGGCTCACTAGCTTCTGTGCATGCGGTTTTTGAGCAGCTCTTCTTCC